CCACGCCACATCACGCCACCAACTCAACAACACAACATCCACGCCACGTCACGTCACCAACTCAACAACACAACATCCACGCCACATCACGCCACCAACTCAACAACACAACATCCACGCCACGTCACGTCACCAACTCAACAACACAACATCCACGCCATATGACGCCACCAACTCAACAACACAACTTCCACGCCACACCACGCCACCAACTCAACAACACAACATCCACGCCACACCACGCCACATCACGTCACGCCACCAACTCAACAACACAACATCCACGCCACATCACGCCACCAACTCAACAACACAACATCCACGCCACATCACGCCACACCACACCACGCCACCAACTCAACAACACAACATCCACGCCACACCACACCACGCCACCAACTCAACAACACAACATCCACGCCACACCACGCCACATCACGTCACGCCACCAACTCAACAACACAACATCCACGCCACATCACGCCACACCACACCACGCCACCAACTCAACAACACAACATCCACGCCACACCACGCCACATCACGCCACGCCACCAACTCAACAACACAACACCCACGCCACACCACGCCACATCACGCCACGCCACCAACTCAACAACACAACATCCACGCCACGCCACGCCACCAACTCAACAACACAACATCCACGCCAAACCGGGGGGCTCTCGTGGCCCAGATGTTAAGGTGTTCACCTCTCTTTCAAAGGTCCCGGGTTCGAATCCAGCGGAAAAAAATTCCTTTTCTAAAATTGTTTTCTTTCACCTCCTTTCCTGCTGTTCTCTAACAATGTTCTGTCGTCTGCTTTCGTCTCCACTTTCTACCCCCATCCCCTCACCTCCTTTGGCCCCTCCCATCCTCTGGGATCCTCACTCTATCTGCAGCCTTTCTACTGCTACTCCTTAGCTTCCTTTTACTGCTGTCTTTCAGCCACACCCCTGATCTTCTTGTTGAACAGATCTACGCCTAGGCTAACAGCGGAAAATCTCGGAGGTCCCGTGTGCAAGTTGCGCATGTTAAAGATCCCTTCGTGGTCTAAAATCAATAAGAGTATGCTTCGGTCGCTAGCAGGGCAAAATTCAAAATTTCCTACCAACTGAAAAAGTATAATGTGTCCCGTGCTCATATCACCTTATTATGCAGTCGCGAGCGCCGTAAAACACTTACCAAAAAACCCCACCAAAACAACAAAAAAAACCTCCACACCACAGAATCAACTCAACTACACACACAAGAGTTCCGTGAAGCACTTCCTGAACACCCGCCTACCCACAATGCCGCGACTGAGCGCGGGGCAGACGAGAGCCGGTTATAAATAGAACAGCGCGGTCCTTGAGCGGAAGCCACAAAGTCGAACAGCCTCGGCCGCCGCGCTAACAACTTACTGACAAGTTCACGAGAACTCTTCAGCGAACGGAGGGAGAGAGAAATCCTGTCACTCGCTGCTGCCTTCCCGCTGGCGCGAACACGGAGACGGGTCGTCTGCTTACGTACTGCCCGCGGTCCGGCGTGCGGTGAGGGGGACGTCGTGGGGTGTGTGGGATTAACGCGCAGCTGTTGTTTTAACCGGTCAGCTCAGGGAGCCTCATGACGTGCGGGTAACGGTGGTGAGAGGTGGCGGATTAACTCTCTACATACACACTCACATACATAACTCTCTCTCACACACACACACACCTCTAAAAAGTATAGGCTTATCTCTTGTAAAACATATAATCTTCGGCACTTACATGACCTTATTGTGTTGCAAGAGCCCTAAAACTCTTACTAAAACTAAAACTAAAACTAGCCTTGGTGGCCAGCCACCTAAACGATCAAAACTGGGTCGAATGAGCGC